TAATAGCTCATACTAATGTATAATTACATTATTTATGCATAAAATGATCTTTTATATTTTTAAAATATTAAATAACTATTTTAAATTATTTTAGTATACAAAGATATTTTTTTGTATTCATTTATTATTTTTATAAATTATTTAGTTATTAAAATTAGCTATTTAAATCTGGCCCTATTTTTATTCAAATTTGACCCAATACCTAGCCCAATTCTTAACCTAAACCTACCCAGCCCAAAACTTAATGCCCGACTCGGCCTCAATCTCATTCAATCTTGGTCGTTGATCATAGAGATCAATGGCCACAATTAACCCTTTCCTAAATTAAACTAAACGACCCCCCCCCCCCCNACCCACACAGCCACCCTAAAATCCCTTTCCACTCCAATGCTCTCAAAAACTAACCCTAATCGAACCTCAGTGTCGCTCATCTATGGCTATTCATGGTGGTTTCTCACCACCCCCGGGCCTCTAACGACCTCTCCTCTACTGGTATCACCATTTCCAGGGTCCTCAAGGGACCAAGGTTAGTCTGCTTGCATCTATGGCCCTTTCTCGCCTGGTTTCAGGCAGTTCCAGTTTGATTTCGAGTAAGATCTTTCTATATCGCCTTAGATCTATGGGTTTCTAAACTTGTTTCTTCACCTCTGTGTGGCTCTTCTCGAAACCCTAATTTCTTCCTTCTGAACTTCTTAGATCTGTACAGATATGAGATGTTTGGACCTATTTCATATGTTCTTTTACAAAAAAAACTTCTGATTTTTACAAGGATCTTCTAATTTTCGAATGGCTTTCTATTTTACTAAACTAGGGTTTCTCGAAAATTTCTTTTCAAAAAATGTTTGATAGTTTTGAGTGTTTGATCTTCTACTTCTTATGTGCCTTGACTGATTTTGTAAAGTTTGCTCTAACTTTAACTCATTTATACTAAAAGCCCTAATTTTATCGACATTTTTGTTTGGTTTCTGAGTTACTTGTATGTTGACTTTGTCCTTGCTTTAGTTCTTGTGATTTTCTTTAGCTAATTATATGTCTTATAATTTTTATCCTGATATGCCTCTGCTGAGTTTCTTGGTCCAACTTTTCTACTGATTCTACATGTCTATATTCATTTTGGTTGTTCATGGTAAACCTATATTTTTCTCCGTAAATCAGTGTTGTTTTCTTGATTTACCAATTTGTTTCGTTAAAATTATGTGTCAAATCCTGACTATTCATTTCTTGCCTTATTTTTGTCTGCGAGACTTGCCGACTCTTTATGTGATTTTTGTCTTTGATTGAACCCTTGACTATTTTGAAGTTCTTATTTTCTGGTTTGATTTGAAGTTTTTTCCTTAACAAAACCTTTGATTCTTACTTCTCTACTCAGTTTGATTGAACTTCTTGCCTTAATTAGTTTTTTCTTGCCTTATTTGTTATTTACTGATTGTTTCCTTAATTGAAACTCTTGTTCATTCACCCCTAATTACCTACTCTGTACCTAAGTCTTACTTGATTTCTTTTCTTAAACAACTGTCCTACTTTTTACCATTGATTGATTATCCCTTGATTAAGGGGAAGACTTACTGATTTTACGTGAGTGACTGATTCTGTGAATTTCCTTAATTTCTATATAATTGATTCTTTACCTTATTTTTTTAATTCTTGATTAATATATAAACTCCCTCTTATTTTAACTTCTGGACACAAACAATAGTTCAAAACTACCACTTTTACACTCTAAAAAGGCTCTCTCTGCACTCCTTACTGCTTGTGATCTTTATTGTTCTAGCCGGCTGCAAGCCAAGGCTGGAAATTGTACAATACCTTTCTCACATCTTGTATATTTCATTCTTTAACTAGGAATGCTTCTGATTAATTTTAAGAATCAAAACCTATGTGTTTGCTTACTGCTTTAATCCATATGGCATGAGTCCATTCTTGCCCTTGTTTACTGCTTACCCAGCATGCCTAATATTGCATATTCAAATATGTAATTAGCATGTTTCCACTTTACTTGTTTGTTTGCTATCTTGTTTAACATGTCTACATATAAAATTAGCCTGTTTGACTGACTGTTGTTTATCTAGCATGCCTAGACTCTGCCTTTGTGTAATTAGCATGCCTTCACCTGTTAATACTTGCCTAGCATGACCATCTAAGTCTTTGCCTACTCTGCCTCACTCCTGCTAAGTTAATTACTCTCCTTATAATGGCTTCAACATGTTTTTGTTGTGATCTTTGTTGTATGACTTGCATTCCAGTTCTGTGGAACCCCTTTAAGAGTTCTATTGAGGTGTATCCTCTGTGTTCCCAACCCCTCTTCCCTTGTGTGATGGTTGTTTGCCAAAGTACTTCCTAAAACTGTTTGTTCTATGACTTATGTTCTGATTGCAACTTGGTCCTTTACACTTTCCTCAAACTGTTTTATCACTAATGATTTTCAGAAATTCTTTTCAGTCCTAAGGCCTTTCTTTTAAACTCTTTCAAACCATTATGCACTTTCACTTACTCTTAGAATATTAGGTCCTGCCCCTCTGGTATGTGTACTGCTTAGAGACCCTTGATATCTCTTTGAACTCTGGCATATCAGGGCTGGCACTTCCACACTACACAATAATCAGTTGTTATTTGAGAAAAGTCTAGGTGTGAGCAGGGGTCCTTGAGGTCCTTAGGAAACTCTAACACACCTAGACATGAAATTGGTTATGGAACTTTGGGTATTTAAGACTATTGGAGGCTTGGAAATCACTTTGGGCCTACTTCAGGCTCCCTATAGCTTAATTCCGGTTCTATTTATGTAATTTTGTTAATCATTGGTCTGTAATAATTAATTGTAAACGAACAGTGGGGTGATTAGTGAAAAGGGGAGAGTAGTTGTATATTATGAGTAAATTGGGTAGATAACATGCCTATAGGGTCTATTTTGATTCAAATGTGTTTGTTAGATAATATGCCTATAGGATCTGCTTGGGTTTAAATAAATTCTGCATGTTTTACTTTCACACAATTAGAAGTCATGCCTATAGGATCTAAATCAGCTTTTACTAATTAGATACCATGCCTATAGGATTTAAAATCAGTTGTAATAGAAATCATGCCTATAGGATCTAAAACCAATTTAGTTAGATCTAAAATCAATTTGACTCGTGCTCGTCAGTTCTGAATCAGATTAAATAACCTACTTTTTTCGTGTTACTCAATATCACTAGAAAGCATGCCTATAGGACCCCAAATTGCCCTTTTAAAAATTGTTTACTGTTTTACTGCATTCCTAATCAGTAATAGATACCATGCTCATAGGACATCACCATTATACACCTAGAAAAGCCATAGGACGATTAAAGATCCAGCAACTGCAAAATTGTGTTCTGTTATCTGTGACTGCTCATAACCTACAGGTCTAAAATCAGTAGGCAAGCTAAATAGGTCTTTGACACTTTGGTCCAAATTCAGTACTGCATGTTCTCTGCTCACGCAGATATCATGCCCTAAGGTTTTCGCTTAAATACCCGAAACTGTTGTTTGAGACGTGCACTTACTTGTTCTGTTTGTGGAGGTAAATGTGAGCCTTTAATTGTTCCTTCTTTAAATGCAGTCTTAATTGTTTTGATTGACGCCTAGATTTTTCTCCTTTATGTACTTTAGGATGGTCTAGAACTACCTAAATTTGAAGTCCTAGATACCTCCAGGGCCACCAGGAAGGTACGGGCAGTGCACGCATAGGACATCTTTCAAGGTTGCTAGGGCGCTTTAGGCTATGGCCAAGGGGAGGGAATTGGGTAGTAAGGATATGATGACTACGCGCTAATGTCACGTGTAGCCCCTCACTGAGGAGTGATTGTCGGGAATTGTGTGGGTATGATCCTATAGGCTAACCAACCTAGGACCCTCTTTCCTAACTCTCGCTGTTTAAATAAAGTTACTTTTCTTTATATATGTGCAACTTGTTCAAGCCTTTTCCCTTGTTTCATTACTTGAATTATACATGTGCTTAGAATGTCAAAACATGTCTTTACTTGCAAGTATGTGTTAAAACTGTTTATTTGTAAAAGGACTAATTCACATAGTTTAAGTTCGATTGGGACCCACCGTTGTGGACCACGAGGGGTGCTTAACACCTTGTTCTCAAGGTTATTTCAAACTCTTACCATAATCTCTAGTAATACAGACTAGTTACATGAGTTAATCGCTCTAGGTGCCCTAATGCACTATAATTCATAAGGTGACAACTCTTCAAATACCCAATTCCCAAAAGGAAATGAGTTTTTCCCCCATGAATGTCGAAACCCAGACTTCCCCGTCAAAAAAGGAAAAAAGTGGGCGCAACAATGCTCAACTATATCAAGACATATCAGTGGGACGGAAGAGCTTCACATAGCTCGGCCGCAGGAGCAATAATCAGGCAAACCAGCTTTGAGCGCGTCGCTGTATGCCCTCCATACAAACTATTTATTAAACACAAGAATCATGAGTAAACGCAACACATATCAAGCTAGGCCAAATAAACTTAAGTATATATGTACCTGCGCGCCTTCAAGTAAATCCAACAAATTCCTGTAATAAGAGAGATGATGTCGAGCCTCGACCTCGCGGGCGTAGCCTCGCCTATCAACCCACCTCCAAGCTAAAGGGAGAAACGGTGGAGGTGGTACATCCGGAGCTATCGGTAGCAGAGGTGGCTGGAACTGCAGGAACTGCTCCCAGGCCCAAACCTAATATAGATTGTGGACATAAAATTTAAGGTATTTTTATACTATGCATGTTATAATCATGAAAAGAATTGACTATGTTTTCACCTGTATCAGCAGTAAAAATTCGGCAACAGCTTTCTGGGTGTCCATACAAGCCCGACACATCTACCTATACAAGTAACCTAGAACAATTGTACCCAGCTGTAACTAGATAAATCATCTAACCGGATAAATCATCTAACCGCTCCAGATGACGTAGAAATCTTAAGCTAACTAGGTTTCCCATATATTTAAGTTAGTGTTAGGCTAAAATGTTGGGTTAGAAAGAGACTTTTGTTGGTAGAGAGTAGAGTTCAATTTGGATTAAAGAATTGGGCGGTCGCTTGTGACCAATAATATTTAACTCTATAATTTAACAGGCTGTGATCCTCTGTTGAAACCACGTGTTTTTATCAAAGTTGTGAATATACTCCGTAAATAGATCCAATCCACACTCTGACTTTCAACTCTCATAATCACAAGTCAGAAAGAAGATTAAAAGAAGACGATGATTTCCAAGCGAAGTCACTGGAACAACAAGAAAGCCTTCTCGTTATTTTAAAACTTAGCTAATTCCCACCTTCTTCCTATAAATTAATATACCTTTCAACCAATTCTTTACATTCACATTCAATTCTGTTTTATATTCGGTTCTGTTTATCTTTATAGTTGTTTGGATTTGGATTTGGATTTTGGCCATGGCTATGGAGGAGGATGGTGTAATTGATCAAAAACCAGCGGCGCCGTCACCTCCAACGCCGGTGGAGTTTAAAGGGACGGATTCTGGTTCTTTGCTTCACACCGTAGTAGCGCTGGTCCTATGGCTTGGCTCTATCCATTTCAACTTCATAATCGTTCTTGCTTCCTTTGTCTTTCTTCCTTTCTCTAAAGCTCTCGCGTTAGTTTCTCTCCAATTTTATTTTTACTTAACCTGCTCATGTTTCTTTATTACCCAGTTGTCTGATTTTGACTTTTCTATTATTGATATTTGTTTCAGAGTGATAGGAATATTGCTTATACTTATGCTGATTCCAATTGATGAGAAAAATAAACGGGGGCGAAGATTATCGAGGTTAGATTGCTGGTGCAATTATGCTGATTATTTATCTGATTAATTGGTAAAGATTGGTTTTTTTTTGCTGCTGGGTTAATAGTGATTATTGGGGATCTTCAGGTACATATGTAAGCATGTTTGTGGTTATTTTCCGGTGCATTTGTACGTGGAGGACATCAAAGCATTTGATCCTAACGAGGCCTACGGTATATTAGTGATTTCTATTCATCTTCTCCATTTCGAAAGGAATAAAGAGATCAACTTTCTGTTTGTGTTTTCATTCTTTATTCTCCAAAAATGTTGTCATTTGTTTGAAGACTTTAATTAGCTATGATAATTCAGCTGGAATCAACTAACGTATCATGCACTTCCCATTATAGAACTATAACAGTTATATTTATACTAAGTTGGAGTTGGTTTGTTAAAATTGGTTTGTCAAATTCCAGTTTTCTTTCCTACAGAAGGATAAGCATTTTGACACATTGATAGAAACTAGCAGAAATTTGTGGTCCCCACTTCTCTATATTAGCAGACACTCCCAGAAAACATTACTGTCTGGTTATTGCTCTTATTTTGTGAAAGTGTTAGTGAACTTGTAATTTACTGATCATTTGGAAACATTGGATAAATAGAGGAATATGAAACAGCTTACTACCATCATAAGCCATCCTTTTTTTTTGTTGGATAACCATGGCGTCCAGGCCAGCTTGCGCGCACCTCGATTAATTCCACTGGATACCTGTCAGCTCCCACCAGCAATAGATACCAGTTAACTCTATCACCAAGGCTTGGATAGATGAGAAGAAATCACCTAGTGTTTTTTTGCCTCCTCTAGGGATTTGAACGAGGGACCTCATGGTTCTCACCCACTTTATTGACCACTAGGCTACACCTTTGGGTGCATAGGCCATCCTTGACTTTTTTGATAAAGTAAGAGATATTATAAATGGCATCGAGAAGATGCAAAAACATAGATACAAAAGATTTGTTAGCTCCAGTACAAAGAGTCCTATACTAGTGTTAAAGAGCTAACAAAGTCCAAAAAGTTGTCACGGGAGTTTACAGGTGTTAGGGTACGGTACTCCAACTGTACAAAAGTTAAAGACATTTACCCTTAAGGAAGTGGTTAGGAGTTGCTGTAAAATCAAAACATCTCCTGTTCCTCTCATTCCAAATACACCAAAAAATACAGAAAGGGATTAGTTTCCAGATTTTCTTGATGGTTGTACCAACTTTCCAGCTGTTCCAGTTCAAAAAGGCTTCCTTTAAATTCCCAGGCATTACCCAGTCCATTCCAAAAAGAGACAAAAACATGTTCCATAAGCCATCCTTTTCTTGCATAGTAAGTATTGAGGTTTTCTGCGTCTACCTAAGTTGAGCAATGCTTTTTGCTTTCAGATGACAAGTTATGTAAACCCGAGTCAGCATGCTAGCTTTGCTTTTGTCTAAACCATAGATGACATCTAATGACCATAAATGCTATGTAGATGACATCTAATGGTTTGTGTTCTAACTGACTTGGTCCACATCTCTTACTTTTTTGCTTGTTGAGCTTTCTGTATCTTTTTTTTTTTGGAAGAAGTAAGGGAATTTCATATAAGACATCACGGATATGCAGGTAGTACTTGTGGAGCTTTCTGTATCTTGGATCATTCAATCCTCTAACTTTTGTTTCTCTCGTTTGCTTCTGTTCTAAATTTTCCCCTCACTATTTTTTGTCCTTTTTTCCAAAGCCTACCGCTGTGTAATTTTAATATTTGATTTCCACTCCTTTCTAAATTGGTACTTATAACTTCTTCTGTGGGCTGATGAAGTCTGTTTCTACACTTCTTGAAGAAACTATATACACCATTCTGTGTTACAACAGTATTAATGAAAAAGCAGAAATCAGTAGCCGCTGTTGTTCATACTAACTTGGATGTTGTTTCTTACAGTTTTTGGATATGAGCCACATTCTGTTTGGCCAATTGGGGTGGTTGCGCTTGCTGACCTTACTGGTTTCATGCCTCTCCCAAGAATCAAAGTGCTAGCAAGTACAGCTGTATGACTTGATGCCTCGTTCTAGTAATTGTAATTTTAATTGTACTTGGTCCTATTTTCAACAACTAGCATTTACTGTGAAGAAAATATGACAGGTGTTCTATACACCATTCATGAGGCATATCTGGACGTGGTTAGGACTTGCACCTGCAACGAGGAAAAGTTTTAAATCCCTCTTGGCTTCTGGTCACAGTTGCATCATTGTGCCAGGTGGAGTTCAAGAGGCATTCTATATGGAGCGTGGTTCCGAGGTTCAATTTTGAAACTTGATTGCAGTTTACAAGCCGATATATTATGCTATACTCACTGCATCTCCTCCTATCCTTGCTCAAACTTAGATGTAGCTGCATAAATGAATTTTGATTAGGAATAGCTAGTAATCACTTATTACACCTTGTTACAAGCCCATTTGATCTAGGCAGCTACTCAACTATTCTAATGAGAGTTAACCTAGTTTGGCTTTTTGAAAGATTGAGAATGTCAATCAACTAATCAACTACACCTTGTTTATAAAACATGTGAATAAACTATTTAGCGTCATTTGTCCCAAGCAATAATAAACTGACTAGAGGTTCTCTAAGTCTCAATAGTTATAGAGTTAAGCTATAGAAATAGAGTTAAGAGATTGTTCAGAAAAATTATATAAATAGTTTGGGTACGTTTTTTGATAAAGTATATAGTTGAGTATGTCAACTCATACCAATTTGTATGTTTTTTTTTCCATTATATTCTATTGTTAGTCAAGGTTTCGGTGATTATGGAAGATTTTAGGTTGTTTTGGATTATTCTCTTCCGATTTTTGGTCTTCCTGGTCTATTTCTATACTTTTCATCATTTTCACTCAACGGCCAGTGCATCTTTAGCTTTATATAGGATGTGGTCTAACGATCACGAGCCTCTTTTGTCTCCTTTTATCCTCTCTATTTGCTATTTGTGCTCTTTGTTAGACAAGATCATATCCAGTTCTCTAGGATAGAACATCCATCGTTTGTTTTCTTATTTTTGTGTCGTTTCTTATTGATATGTTATGCCTTAGTGGCTGAATGTTCACTTGCTACATTAATAGTCTTACACTCTCACAACCTTTTTATAAAGCTGTCTTTCATCTTGTTATTTGTTTTTCTGTTAGCACTCCTATGAAGCTTCTCCTTGTGAATCATTTCAATGTAGTCATTTGTGTTACGTCTTCATGGCTTCATCTCCGTAATCCCAGGTTTTAGTTGTCTCAGTTGTCTATTAGTCTCATCAATTAACAATATAATCTGCAAACAGCATGCACCACAAGAGCTCATTATGTGCATTACTGGTTAGCTCACTCACAACCAGAGTGCAAGTTCTTTCTAAGAGCTCAAATTCAAGACCTCTTATTTAAGATAGATCTTTGGTGTAAGCCTGTAGTGATGAGATAATCAATGGTCGCGTCAGCGTGAAAAGTTAGTTGTGAGAGTGGCTTGTCGTTAAATTTGTTTGAATGCTGGTGGGTAATCGAAAAGGTTTTCCTATTTGAGTAGAGAGGTCAAGTTTTTTTTTTGGGAGCAGAAAGGGAAGTGTGATTTGGTACAGATGGTGTGGTATTTACTATATATCTTATGTACCTATTGGGGATAATGGTAAGTGAGAGTATGAGATATTTAGTATCCTTTACTTGTGTATGCTGGGATGGGAATGTGTTAAATCTAATTGCCCTATTAATCTGTGATAGATTGCCTATCTTCAAAGAAGAAAAGGATTTGTACGCATTGCCATGGAGATGGGCAAACCACTGGTTCCTGTATTCTGTTTCGGCCAGGTGATATTTTCTTCGTCTTTGGTTTTCTTAGTTTTCGGTTATTCACTTCAACTTTCTTGTGCTTCAATGCTGGCGAACTTGAAATGTTTCCTATCCTACGTGACTATTTCTATCACTTTATGTGATTTAAATTTAAATGAGGACTGAAATTTGCATGCAAGGTATTAAGATACTCAGTTTTCATATCTTTGATATATATTTTGTCTGAGGAAATCTTGTTTGATTTTATTATACTTTGCACTCTTTAAGGAAAGATCATAGCTTTGCATGTGGTGATAATTTCACAAGCATTGGCTCATTGGGTAGAGTTCACAACTGGGTTGTCAAGCTTCTCTTGTTTCTGCTTTGTGGTATTATTTTGTAATCATGTTGCTAATGTGGTGTGGAGAAACTCCTTTTCTCGTGTGTGCTTCATTATTGTCTTTTCAGAACTTTCCTCAGTAAAGTAACTGTCAATCTCCGTCTTGGTTGTGATACTTTTATCTTCATATTGTTCTTGCTTTTGTGCTCATTTTGGTTGAAAAAAATATCCTGATATGTGCTTAGTGCTTACTGTTTTATCTAAATTCTGCAGTCTGATGTCTACAAATGGTGGAAGCCAAGCGGGAAATTGTACTTGGAATTCTCTAGGCTCATTAAGTTCACTCCAATACTTTTCTGGGGCGTCTTGTGGTATGTTATGCGACCTTATTCTTTCAACTTCACACCAGGAAGGCAATATAGAATCTTGACCTTTTTGTTTGAGGTTCTATTATCTCCCACACCAGAAGGCCAGTACTAAATCTTTGAAGTCAGTTATTTTAACTCATTGCTTATGGAAGTAATAGCTGTAAATGGCCTGCTACAGTCATTAGGCATGGTTAATGTTTCCGAGATCATTTAATTTGAAAACTAGAACTAATTGGTTCGAGTTTGTACACTATATACTCATGTAGGCCATGTTATTCCTTACTGCTAAAATTGGTTCCCTATTCCAGTTTAGTAGAGCTGCCACTATCTCCACCAACCGTGAAATAGGACATAGTTGTATTAAACAGAATAGGTAAATTGATTATAGTACCTGCGACCAGTCATATGATGGATTGCAACCTATCCCTGGAATGTACTTGGAAATGTCCTTTCTTTTGCCACTCATCTGTTTCTAGTTTCAACTTTGTAACATCTTGGTGTTTTATTGCAGTTCTCCCATACCGTTTCAGCGACCCATGCATGTTGTAGTTGGTAGGCCCATTGTGCTCAAGAAAAATCCAGACCCTACTGCCGAAGAGGTATTCCAGTTGACCCTCCTAGTTTCTGTCTCTCTTTCTGCAGTGGGCTTGTGAATTGTGCACTACTCATGATGCAACAAACAATGGGGTGTTTCCTTGTGATGATGGGGTCGGGGTTTACAAACTATTGTCTAAACAGTTTGCCAGTATTTTTTTTTTTTTTTT